TGATTAATTATTGATTATTTATTGTGTTGCTTGATATGCATATTATTTTATATTGTTATTGCTTGATCACTTTTTATTGCAGGTTAAAGGGAATTGGTACTTGTAATCACGCTTAATAAGATAATTAATAATCTTGTTTAGGATTAATTGTGATTATAAATTCAAGTGATCGCCAATAATAGATTTATTTGTGCATTAAATTCAACCAACATAGATTAAACAAGTTTAGGGTTAATCCTATTGATTGCATGTTAGTCAGAAAGCGCACATGAATACGAGCAGAATAAAGTAGAGGCCTATTATTAGGGCAGGTTCAATCTCTTTTAGGTTGGATTTGTACCATCATCCCCGAACCCTTATTTGGTTCATGACCTTATGGAGTTGGCGATCTCTTGGATCGTTAAGGGGTGTAACCTTCACCTCATGAACGGTTTACAAGTTCCTTAAAAACTTGTTGGCGACTCTTTTGCTCTATCTTCTTCCCTTTTGGACGCCACCGTACTTTAGTGTATGATCACAGTGGGGTTCAAGCTAGTGGGATTTTAAAGGCTTGAAATTATTCCCTACAGCGCCTTCTCACCCCTTCTTTCCTCTTCTCTCTTCTCCGCCCTTTTCTCTCCTCTTCTCACCCTCTCTCCTCAATCTTTTCACTCTCTCTCCTTTCTTAAACGAAGAAACCTAACATATTGGATTCCAAACGAAGGCAATAAAATAAAGTAATTTAGGCCCTTTCTCTTTCCTCTTTGATCTCTTCTCTAATTTCACTTTGTCTCCTCTTTTCCTCACCAGCCTACATCACCATCGCGCGAACATTTTGAGGTTTTTTGAACTCCATCAAGGGAATCAACTAAAGGTCTTTCATGTCAAATTTGACCATGAAAACACTAGATCTAGAGTTTTCGTGGTCAAATGTGACCTTAGAAACCCAAAATTCGAGGTTTTTCGGTGGAATTTGAGGTTTGAGTTTTTTTTTCTACTTTATTTTAATATTTTTATGGTGGTGTGTGATTGAATAATTGCGGTGGTGGTAAATGTGATTGAACTTATTGCGGATTTACTTTCTGATACAGAATGTTCTTTATTGCTGCTATTGAGTGAGTACAATCATTATAACTCAAGACTCGTTTTTTCCAATTCTAAATTCACATGTCAGAACATCATAGTTTAGTACTCTTACGAGTCTCGCCTCTTAATTTCTTAAACATGGACACTACTTATTTTGGTTAAGTTTTGGGTCGATCTAGGGTTAAGGTTTGGGTGGAAGGGAGATGAAGGGTGGTGAAATAAGGTGGGTTGGGTTGTTGTGGATTTTGGTTCCGTTTGGTTTTTTTTAGTTCGGTTTATGTTTGGTGTGGTTTGGTTTCAGTTTTTTGCAATATTTTATGTTTATGATGCTTGATAGGAAAAATCGGTGCGGTTTGGTTTTTTTTTTTTTTTACTTAAGAAAATCGAAATTTAGGTGGTTTGGTTTGGTTCGGTTTCAAAAGCCAAAGTGGTGCGGTGTGGTTTGCAAAATCCAAAAATCGAAATATTGTGCTTCGGTTTTGGTTTGGGCAATAAACCAAACTGAAAACCGAACTTTCACCCCTATCTATTATCCATGTTTTTAAGATCAAAAGTTTGTATCTTTGAGGGAGAAAATTTAAAATTTTGTGCGAAAAGATGAGATCTTTTGAGAGGGGTGAAGAGGGATTCAAAAGGTAGGATCTTTCTAGGATAATAACCTAGGCTCTTGATACCAAATTGATATGAAACAAACAACAATTCCAAAGCAGCAACACAAGATAAACCTATCTCAAAAATCACCAAGATATATGAAATAGGGGTTCTTAATCAAAGTCAATGCAAAGTAAAGTAAGGATTAAAGTGTAACCATAAATATTACAAAGTAGCAATCACAAAGAAAGGAAATAATTACAAATATTAAGAAGAGAGAAAATCACATTGATTTCAAAATTAAGCAAAGATTGTTCCTAAAAGCAAGTTTAGCCCTATTTAAAGGCTTTACAAACAACCCTAAAGTTCTAAATTACGCCCCTTGGATTACAAATGGAAGGCCAAGATTAAAACATTGCAAAAATAAGCATAAAAGAAACAAAGTTTTCTGCTCGAAAAAAGGCCACTAGAGCATCCACTCTTAAGGCCGGGTAAGAGCGGACGCTCCTCACTTTTGAAAACTTCTTCAACTGACGTCCATAGGAGTGGATGCTCCACTTTGAAGAGCACGCACTTCACTTGGTGGGAGTGGGCGCTCATCTTGACTTTCCTGTACAACTCAACCTCACACGTTCATGACTTGATGATCTATCGTTGGAAAGCTCTCATACCCTACTTTCATCTCCAATTTGAATCACCTGGCTGATTGAAATTGAGTTATCCTTTTTTTAACAATTACAAGCCTTTTTTTTTTTAATACTAGTTTCCATGCTTCATCTTCAACCCTCACTTGTAAAATTATGACACAAGAATCACTTTATTCACCAAAGTCACTTCATAAGATAGGGAATCTATCTAAAAAGTAGATTAAGCCTTAAATGCCATAAAAGCAATCGTATAGCCATACAATTTGTAGGTTTCAAGGATGCTCTCGCATCAATTTGCCCCCCTTACAATGATAAAATCAAGCGTTGTTCAGGGTTTATCATTTCTTATGAGCAAGTTAAGATTAATGTCAAATCTATCATGATTGGCATTGACCACAATGTATGCAATACAATAAATTATGAATTGAATACCTGATAAAAACATATGATCTAAATGAATAACATGTTTTTTTTACTTATCATGTTTTGTATGTATATTATCTTGATTATTTAGTTTAAGTTTTCTATTTTACAAAATTCATTTTATAAAGCAAAAGAGTAAGTGTTAAAAGTAAATAAGAAATTTATAAAGTAAATACAATATGGATAATTGTGTAAATATATATGCATTTTTCTAGATTTAAATAATCTTATTTTTCCGTTTTAACATAGTCCTCTTGAGATTTCTCTGCTATCTCAAGACCCTTCACAAGCACAAGCACAAAAACCTTCACCAGAAAAACTTTCACCAAGAACAACTTTGACTGAGTTGAATCAAGCCTGGTATGATTGGATATGTCTTTGCGATGCAAAAGAGAAAATTTTCTGTGCTGAGTTGGTATGTATATTAGTTTTTATTATGTTAAATATTTTGAAATACAATTTATTCATTATGATTTAAAATTCCAAGGATAATAAAAATTGCATTTTTATTATGACATGTTTTTGTTCCGATTGGTTTGCATAACCATTATAGTTTAGTAGTGGTTAATTTCTTGAAAGAGAGCATATAGTACTTGGATAACAGAGATTATGAGGAAACTCATTATATTACTAAAAAGTGTTGCATCTACTATGGTATGTTTCCCTAATCAAATAAATAAATAAAGTAAATAATTATTCATCAAAAGTAAATGCATGAAAAATCTAAAGAGATATTAGCTTATGACTTTGATGCGTGGAAAATAACTATTCTTATAGGTAGAGGATGTCAAAGTTCTTGAACAGAATTAATCATGCAAAATTTAAAGTGATATTATCTAATGGATTTGATGATTTAAAGTTCTCTTGGAAATCTTTAAAATACACCCTTGATTGTGGTGTTTTTATGATGGTCCATATTTTGTGCTTCAGTGGAGAAACGTTTGATGCAGACCTTGATCTAGCAAACAGAATAAAGGTATATCGTGTTGAAATTCGTGTTGCACTCATTCTGTCAGATATCAATAAAGAACGAGATGCCATTTTGGAAAAAGTATCAAAGTTCAAAGTAGCTAAAAAAACTTGAGGAACCAAAGAAATCAGATGAAGAAATCAAACTTGGACAATTTATTTAAGTTATTTGTCATATATCTTGAAAGAATAAAGGAGCATTATGGATGGAATAAGCTAGCTTGTAATTCCACCAAGTTATTGACTATGTGGCCATCAATGATGAAAATTTTTCAAAGAAGAGGTAACCCGTTATTCATAAAAAAAAAAATTAATATTTATGTAGTTGCAAATAAAATTCATGCTAATATAAAACACAATGTAATGAAGTTGTACTGGTTTGGAGAATCTATTTAATTAACAAGAGGAGAATATGATATGTTACTCAACCAGTGCAAAGTTGATAAACTACGTAAAAGTTAAAATGCTACAATTTATAAAAATCTACAATGTCATTCTTTAAAAATGACACCATAAAATGTTGACATGGCGAAATCTAATAGGCCTGCATTTGGTATTTTTATTTTTATTTTCATTTTGAATTATTTTTAATGTCCATTATTTATAAATTTATTCTTTTTGATACATGAATTTTTTTAGGAATACATAATTATAAATGACGAAAATTTATTTTTATACTGTTAATTAATTAACATAATAATACTTATAATAAAAAATCACAATTATTTACCCAAAAAAAATCACACAATTAAAACTGCTCTTCGTCAATGTTCTTCATTCATCCACCCATTCCCAAACATTGTTAATGTATTCTCAATAGCCCTTGCACCAAAACATAAGCAATAGCTAGCCAATGAGGCAATGAACAACCAGATTGATGGGTCACGGATTCACAAATTTGCTACCGAAGAAGAAAAACGCCTGCCTTAAAAACCTCTTGAAAACTGAACAATACATTCCCAGTAAAGTCGTCTGAAATACGCCGGTAAACGCACCAAAACTGCTCCAAAAACGTACCCAAAATACGCTTCAAAGGGCTGAAACCTTAATCTGCCGCAGTGAACTGATAGATTATAGAAATAATCTTTGTAATTATCTTGCATATATTTAGTGTATATCTTTCCTAGTTTAGCATAGCTTAACCTAGATGCCTCTAATCTTGTATATATACTAATATTTGATGAATGAGAAGGCTACGACAAATATTCACATATTCTCTTATGGTATCACGAGAATAAGTTTCTTTCCTGAAAACCCTAATTCTCACTTCTTCCGCTATCTCTCTTTCTCTTCTTTCTGTCCTCCATGGCTGAATCAAGGAAAATTCATCCTGCTACTCTTGTGAACAACATCAAGTCTTGCATCCCTATTACTCTCGATTATAAGGGCAAGCAATTCAACACTTGGTCGACTCTCTTCCAACTTCACTGCCATGGGAACTTGGTAATTGAGCACATAATTCCACCACCGGTGGATCCTTCGGCTAAGACCACCACACCTACCCCTGCTGAACTGTCATTCACCCAGCGCCTTGACGACATTGTTCGCCAATGGATTTATGCAACCATTTCTCCTAACCTAATGGATTCAATCATCGACCTTGATGATAAAGCAATTGATGCGTGGAAAAGGTTGGAAGAATTTTTTCTCAACAATAAATCTGATAGGGCCCTGCAATTAGATGCTCAGTTTACTAATACTCGTTTAGAGCAGTTTGAAGGAGTCACACCATACTGCTCTCGTCTCAAGTCTCTTGTTGATGGCTTGAAAAACGTAGGGGATAAGGTATCCGATAATCGAATGGCACTCCAATTGTTGAAAGGTTTCTCGGAGGAGTATAAGCCCTTTCGCACATTCGTTCGACACCTCAATCCATTGCCTTCCTTTGACACTCTTTGTTCTATGCTAGAACTTCAAGAGCAGGGCAATATGTCTGACCATGTTTTGGATTCGAGTGAAGAAGCGCATATTGTGCACACAACCTCTTCACAGCAATCTCACGGGGGAGGTGGTTCCTCACAGCAATCTTCCACTCGTGGGGGTGTTTCACCGGCACGTGGTGGCCGGAAAAACAACAAAGGCAAAGGCGGAAAGGGCAAGAGTGCCGGCAGTGGTGGCCGGAACTCACAGCAATCGTCCTAGCAGCAGCAACAGCGTGGGGCCTCTGCTCCTTCATCGCAACAGAACACGGCCCAGCAGCAGCAAGGGTGGATGTTTCCCCCTTGGGCCTATTGGGGTCATGCTCCTTGGGCCACACCGCCTTGTCCTTATCCATCTCAAGGCCAAGGCCCAGTTCAGTTGACTTTTCGCACTCCTCAATTCCCGAATCAGAATGGTGTTCTCGGACCTCGACCTCAACAAGCATACTACATGGCTGCCCCTCTTTCTCCAGGTTATGTTCCGACTAATATTGAACAAGCTATGCATACCTTGTCTATGGCGGATCCGAACTACTACATGGACACCGGTGCTACATCACATATGACCAATTCCCAAGGTAAATTGTCTTCGTATGTTCAATTGCATAAAAACAGTAATAATTCTATTATTGATGGTAATGGTAGCAAAATTCCAATTCAAGGTTATGGTCACGAATCTCTTAATCAAAACACACTTCAACTCAAAAATGTCCTTCATGTCCCAAAGCTTATCAAAAAGATTATTTCTGTTTGAAAGTTCACTACTGATAATAGTGTTTCCATTGAGTTTGATCCTTTTGGGTTTTCAGTGAAGGATTTGCAGACGGGGAGCAAAATAGTGAGATGTGATAGCAGTGGCGATCTTTACCCTTTCTTCTCGGATCGTCAAGTCCTTTCTTATTCCTCTTCATCCGCTTTTGCAGTTGTCTCTCCAAGTGTATGGCATTCCTGTTTAGGTCATCCGGGAAATGCGATCTTAGGTTCATTGCGTAGTAATAAATTGATAAAATGTAATAAGGCTCATATTGATGTTTGTCATTCTTGTCCTTTGGGAAAATTAATAAAATTGCCTTTTTACGATTCTCAATCTCATACTACTATGCCTTTTGACATCATTCATAGTGATTTGTGGACTTCTCCCGTATCTAGCTCTCTTGGGCACAAATATTATGTTCTCTTTCTTGATGATTGCACAAATTTTTTGTGGACTTTTCCAATTGCATCCAAGTCTCAAGTTTACAACTTATTTCTTCGACTTAGAACTTATATTCGTACTCAATTTGAACGGGAGGTCAAAGCTTTCCAATGTGATAATGGAACCGAATTTAAAAATGATCCTTTTCTTAAATTTGGTCACCAACATGGAATGGTTTTCCGGTTATCTTGTCCATACTCTTCTCCTCAAAAATGGAAAATTCGAACGTAAAATTAAGACTATTAATAATATCGTTCAAACTCTCCTATGTCATGCCTCTATGCCTCCCTCCTTTTGGCATCATGCTTTAGAAATGGCTACCTATTTACACAACATCTTGCCAACAAAAATTCTTGATTATAAGTCTCCCACTCAAATATTATATCAAAAACACCCCGACTATTCTCATCTTAGGGTGTTCGGTTGTCTATGTTATCTTCTTTTCTCTTCTACTCAAATTAACAAACTCCAACCGCGCTCTACTCCTTCTGTTTCTCTTGGATATCCAAGCAATCATAGAGGTTATAAGTGTTATGATATTTCAAGTCGCAAAATTATAATTGCAAGACATGTTTGGTTTGATAAATCGATTTTCCCATTTTCTAAAATTCATTCTCAACAACCCCATTCTTATGATTTCTTGGGTGATAGCTTAGGACCTCTTTCTCATCCATTGCTTCAACATAATTTTGATGCTAGCATTGATCACCTTCCTACTCATACACCCCACGCAAATCAGTCCCCCCAGCAGCTTATGCCTTCGCCACTTTCTTCTCCTAGGCAGCCTACACCGCAGCCTGGTTGCGGCACCCCAGCCCAGGCCGCAGGTGAGCTGCGGACTACGCTGCCTACCCAGCAGCAGCTCCATCTTCCCCCCCACATCACCCCCCTTCCAGCGGCTAGGGACTCTCCCAGCACCCTTCAGCGTGGCCTAGTGCCACTGCCTGCATCCCCCGCCAGGTTACCAGCGGGTGCTGGTGCTAGAGCTCCCATTCTTGCCGAGCCCACTGCCCAGCCCGATGGTTTTCCATCGGCCGCTGGTGCGGGTGTGGACGAGCAGGGGGTGCTTCACATTCCACCCGATTTATCTTCTTCTTCCTTCTCCTATCCTACTCCTACACCAACACACTCCATGACTACTCTTAGTAAACATGGAATCGTCAAGCCTAATCCCAAATACCAACATCAATCCTATCATACTACTACTTCCATATCACCTATTCCAAAGAACCGGGTTAATGCACTTCGTGACCATAATTGGAAAATTGCTATGCAGGAAGAGTATGATGCTCTTATTGACAATGGAACTTGGAAATTGGTTCCACGACCGCCGAATGTGAACATAATTCGGTCTTTGTGGATTTTTCGGCATAAGACTAAGTCTGATGGGTCTTTTGAGAGACATAAGGCACGTCTTGTTGGTGATGGTAAAACTCAAAGGGAAGGCATTGATTGTGATGAAACTTTTAGCCCGGTTGTTAAACCGGCTACTATTCGGGTGGTTCTTAGCATTGCTTTGGCTAAGTCTTGGAAAATTCATCAATTAGATATGAAAAATGCTTTCTTACATGGTCATTTGAATGAAACAGTGTACATGTATCAACCTATGGGATTCAAGGATCCTAATAACCCTGATCATGTCTGTTTATTGGATAAGTCACTATATGGTCTGAAACAGGCACCCCGTGCATGGTACAAACGTTTTGCAGATTTTGTGGCTACTATTGGATTTTCTAATAGCAAATCTGATACTTCATTATTCATTTATCGCCATGGTAATGATACTGCTTATCTACTTCTATATGTTGATGATATTGTGCTCACTGCTTCATCGGACTCTCTCCGGCAACATATTATTTCTCGGCTCAGCTCTGAATTTGCAATGAAGGATCTAGGTCCACTGAGTTATTTTTTGGGTATTGCTATTACTAGAGGTAACAATGGTCTATTTTTATCTCATAAGAAATATGCGCAGGAAATTTTGGAAAAAGCAGGAATGGCAAATTGCAAGCCTTCGCCTACTCCTGTTGACACCAAAGGCAAGATGAGCACTCAGGAGGGTGCTTTGTATGACGATCCTACTTCTTATCGGCACCTTTGTGGTGCTTTGTGGTACTTGACATTTACCCGACCAGATATCTCTTATGCAGTTCAGCAGGTTTGCTTATTTATGCACTCACCTCGTGTTGAGCACATGGATGCGTTGAAACGCGTTCTTTGGTACATTAGAGGTACGACAGATTTTGGTTTACAATTGCACAAATCTCCTGTTTCTTCTCTTGTGTCATACACGGATGCTGATTGGGGCGGGTGTCCGGACACTCATCGTTCTACATCAGGGTATTGTGTGTACCTTGGTGATAATCTGATTTCTTGGTCTTCGAAACGCCAACCCACTTTGTCTAAATCCAGTTGTGAAGCATAGTACAGAGGGGTTGCAAATGTGGTTTCTGAATCCTGCTGGATTCGCAATTTGTTGCTTGAGCTATTTCTTCCTATTTCGTAGGCAACATTGGTTTATTGCGACAATGTTAGTGCGATTTATCTCTCTAGTAATCCAGTTCAACATCAGTGCACTAAACACATTGAGATGGACATTCACTTTGTTCGTGAGAAGGTTCAACACGGCGAAGTTCGTGTCCTACATGTTCCATACCGATACCAGATTGCAGACATTTTTACCAAAGGTTTGCCCAAGGTTTTATTTGATGATTTTCGGGACAGTCTCAGCGTTAGTAGTCCTACCGTTTCGACTGCGGGGGTGTGATAGATTATGGAAATAATCTTTGTAATTATCTTGCATATATTTAGTGTATATCTTTCCTAGTTTAGCATAGCTTAACCTAGATGCCTCTAATCTTGTATATATACTAATCTTTGATGAATGAGAAGGCTACGGCAAATATTCACATATTCTCTCATGAACCCTTTGCCGGACCTATGTGCATCGAAAAGCCACCGGGTTCTGCACCCTTATCGTTGCACCCTAATTGCCTATAAATCTATAATTGCACAGTTCATTCCGATCTTTGGATGAATTGTTGGTCGGAATTTTGATTTGAGTTCTGATTGATTACAAGATTTTGGGGACGATGATGATGAACAATCAAGAACGATGATGACTATTTGAGTTTCGATTATACGAAGTATAATTTAATTTTCTGGATGATTTTAAAAATAAAAATAGATTTTCAAATATTATAAGTATGTTATCTTAACAAAAAAAATACATGTATTTCCTGTATTTCCAATTATACATATATGTATTTCCTGTATTTCCAATTATACATGTTATGGTTTCCTTTTTTGAAGAATGACACAATATACTAATCCTAAAATTTATTGAAAAATAATAGTAGGAAAAAAAGGAAAAAAATAAAAGAGAAAGAAGCAATAATAAAATCATCTCTTGCGCAAGATACTAAGCAAATACAAAGTAGTACATTATTAGTTTTGTTTTTAATAGAGTACATTATTAGTATTTACATTACTCATTTTGAATTATTCAACAAACAAGAAAATGAAAGGAAGCAGCAAACAAATGCTTTGCATATATCTATATATGTATAAATGCATCATCAAAGAAATAGTAGGAGAGAAACTAAAGCTATTGTTTTCAAATGGTAACAACACCACACTTATTTAGAATAAGATGAAGAATTGAAGAGAGATAACGCGACAATCTCTTCTATTATTTTGTTCTTCTTGGTATATGCAAATTGAGTTTTTCCTTCATGATAAGGGCAGGAGGTTTTCTAATGATTCTTTTTCTTATAAAAATGCAAATTGACTTAATTAACTTTGTTTAGAGTTTTGGAGAAAGAAGCTTCTTTTTGAGAATGTGCTTTGTAAGACCAGGTAATTGGATGTTCATGAAATAATCTTCCCAATCAATGCATTTCACATCGAAGTTAAATTTTATCTTCTCTTCTGAAGACATTGCTTCAAACATGTTTTGAGTATTCTTGTTGTTGAACCTGAGCCAAAAAAAAAAAATTAAAGAAATAAAAAAAATCAGCTAGCATATA